TTTGAATATATCGTTTCTTTCATTTATGTATAATTTACAATTTAGAAGAAAGTGTATTTCATCCTCTACTTCATTAGTTTTACAAATGGGACATTTTCTATTGGATATATCTATGTTGCCGTGTCTTCCTGTTTCTATCTGTAAAACGTGCGCACTGATTCTTAATTTTGTCATTGCAGCTCTATGTGATGGGTTTTTAACAACTTCTAAATATTTGTCATATGTCATACCATATGCTAATTTTATGGTAATAGAAAAGTAGGCTTGCGTTCACTTGGGTTAAAGGCCCAATTCACTTGCCCCGGGCAAGTGTGAATTGGAGGTGTGGCTATTCTAATGAGTGTTGTTAATCACTTGCATAGCCTATGACGCATGCTGTTTCAGCGGTCCAGCATCACGTGACTTTGATTGACAGTAGTAATTATTCAAGATTAGTCGCGCATCCCTTTCCCCGGTTCATGTTTTTTACTTTTATCCGCCAAAATCTCAGCTCGTACACAATTTATTGTCATAAATATTACACACAGTCACTGCTGTGATATTTATAGTCACATGCATCCACTTTGGCATGACATAATCGACCTGTAAGTTTGAGAAAACACGTTTTTACCGGAGCTTGGCTGGAGCTGTTTACTACAGCGTGACAAGCAAGGAAATAATCCCTATTGTTTAGGAGCGTATTTATAGTATACCTGGGCCTTTATTAACCATGGAGGTAAAAAGAGACCTCCATGGGTTAACAAATAAACAATTTGACGAACGTGTAACACGCATTGAGACAAAAGAAGTATTATCGTTTCCCAACCTGAGGTTGAGAGACTGCGTTTCTATCCACCCCTTATCACGGAGATCTTACCATGGATCTTACATAACCAAAGCTCTTTATTAACAGTTTATTTGTTCACAACTCCCGACTTCGGGCAAATTTATATTCTTGATTATCACAATAAAAATAACATTCCAAAGATTTGCTAAATTAAGAGTTGTAGTACTATCAGATTAAATACCACATCACAGTTGAGAGAATAAGACAAAACTATATACAGTATACCATGGAACTATAAACCCCAGGGAGAACAACCACTTCGTTTCCTTTGAACTATGATAGTTGCCGCGATGTCGAATGTTTATTTTGACTGTGTATTTCGTCGCATTAAAAAATAAGCCGATTTACGCAAATGAACGTTTATCTCTGACTATCGGTCATTTTCGGAGTCAATCGGGCGACTTCGGGAGATCACATGATCGAGTTGTTTCGGTTATAGCATAAAAAACAATGGTGCCAAGACAAAAATACTGATAAATGAGCGACATTCAACGTGAAAAAAACAACACATTGCCACTTCTGGCGATCG